TGATTAGTGAAGTATTTGACTTACAAATCCTACTTCATATGCAGTTAACTTTAACCCCTAATGCACAATCCCTCTGTTTTCAGATCCCAGTTACAATAATGAAGCCAGATGAGAAAGCTGAGATACCAGTTGGTGTTGTTATTGGCAGTATATTGGCTGGACTCCTTCTGCTGTTAGCATTGGTTGCTGTTTTGTGGAAAGTAAGTAGGTGTTTATATTATTAAAAAGAAAAGCAGAGGGACAAACGCATTTGGGCTGTTTTCTTTGGAACTTCTGGTTGCTGGAACAAAACTGCAAATGCAGTTTGGTGGTATGAATAATACTGTATTGGCATCACACCCTTGATGGGAGCATTTAGAAGGGCTTTAAACATCAAAATTCTGAAATGGGTCCCCATAGAAATTGGCAAATGCGAAGGTGATAAATGATTTTTCAATAGTTCAAAACAGGGGCTGTGGCATTGTTCTTTCTTTTTGACACTGCCTGCCTCCTTCTGTAAGTCTCCAGCTGGGGTCTGAACTCCCATAACATTCCCAGTGGGCAAGGCTAGGGAACAGAAGCAAGGAAGGAGAAGATATACACTGAGCAGAGAAAAAAAGAGAACAAAGAAGGGTGAGGACAAAAGGTCATTTACAAAGGATACCAAGATTAGGAGGAGAAAGAAGTTCTATGTGCCAGGGCATTGGTGTTTGAAGGGCTCCTTGGTGCTCCAAGGAGATGCTGGCATCTTGGCAGGGAGTCAGCTGGCTAATCAGCACTGCTGTTTTGACATTTAGTTTCACCAGGCAGGAGTTTAAGGCCAGGTCTTTTTATTTTAGAGTTAGGAATTGTCTACAAATCAAACACTGTATGTGTGTGCATGTACACATATGCATTTCTGCCACCACACTGTTTAGCTTAGCTGAGTAAAGTAACCATCAATGACTTACTGTGATGTGGTGTTATTTTAATACTTCTCACAGCTTGGCTTCTTCAAGAGACAGTATGAGAAAATGACACAGGATATAGAAGATGTTGATGAAATTACAGAACTAACAAAGGACAAAGACTGAAGAAGATGAGTTACATGGATAAAGAGATCTGAGCCACCAACATTAATTGTGATCCAGTTGCTTCTTCAGCTGGAGTGCCTTAAAGCTTAGTAACATTTAAACATTTTTAAGAAAAGTGTCTTTTTATAGATGAGAATATTTTACAAATTCTACTCTATTATAAGAGTAACTGCAGGACAGTTTGTTGGTTGTTTTTTGTTTTTTTTTTCTCTTTCTTCCCCCAAAATGATTTATAGTGCCTTTTCTTGGAAATTTTTGCCTTTTAAACAAACTTAGCCCTTAGAACTGGCAGGTCCGGAGTTTACAGTAACATATTGTGCCAGCAGTCCTTCTCCTCATCCACTGCAGAGTGAAACAGAGCAATTTATTTCAGATTATTGTGGAATGGCATCAGTTCGTAATTCAGTTGACAAGTACCATATGTGTAAAGGACATTTTCTATTAAGTTGATGATGAATGTGTGGTGAATACTGCTTCCAGACTGGGAGAAGAAAAGTCATTTTTTTCATTGACTAGCTCCATCCTTATTGTCTTAGAGAAGTAATTTGCACCAGCAACCCTTTGTTTTAACTAATCTATAAAGTGGGAACTGCTATGAAGATGCCTGTCTGGGTGCTACAAGACAACTGGATGGGCAAACTCTTCCAAAAGTTCACTGTATTCCTTGCACTAAGGTCACAACTACATTACTGAATATATTGTTTGGGGGAAATACTGCCAAATAGTATGTATAGCTGCCTTCTGCATACTTTCTGAGAAAAAAAAAATATGAATTTCATAATTACAGCATGTTTTCTGAATGTTGTGATTGGTTTTCAGACTTAAGCTTGAGAAGCACTACCACTACTGTTACACTGGGCTTTAAGCTCACAGTCCCTCTGACGTGAGTTTGGTTAGGTATGCATAAATAGGGAAGACAGTCAAGATCTTGCATTTCAATTCTGTAATGAAAGATTCTGCAGGACTTGACTTAAAGTACGGAGTGAATTAAAGGGGATGATCACTGAGGAAGTATGTGCATTAGGACAGGGGATATTGAAGATCTAAGCTCTGTAAATTGTTTACTGCACTTGTTTCTTTAGCATCTCAGTGCCCTCCAGGAGACCAAAGTTCAGTATAACATTCTTACCTGTCACATTTTATTTGGTCCCTCATGTTCATGCCATGATGAAGTTAACTTATGTTTTGTACATTAAAGTACTGTAATGCTCTGGAAGGAGCTCTGAACACACCACTTGGGTGACTGTGTTGGTTACACACCTCAAGTTTATCAGGTGCCATTAATGCTGCTGGTTTTAATGAAAGCTCAGTCTTAAAAAGGCACATGCTGTAAGACTGGTAACAGTCAGGGAAATTGGCATTTTGGCTGCCTGTCTCTCTCATGGCTGGCATTTATGCTTATAATTGATTGTGAGAGAAGATGTGTGTTTTGTTTTTATGTACACTGCCATGCAAGTGAGATTGTTTCTAAATTACTTGAAGAGTAAAACATTTAAATGTGCCTGAATCAGAATCCAAAGTCATGTTTTCTTTCCCCCAAAACTAGATTGTAATTATGCTTAGGCACCTTTCAGATTATTTTCTGAGGGACTCGTCAAAAACTAGTCTTGCGATTGTTTCAAAGTTTTACTCAGTTTCTTTTGATCAGTAATCAGTTGGGAGCCAGCCATCTCTTTGGCAAATAATAGCTTCATTTGCAGTGACAGCTGGATTGTGATCAGTGTACTTTTATATGAGTTTGGGATTTGTGTTGTAGCTATGAAATGTTATGTTTTGGGGTGTTTTGTTGTTTGGTTTTTTTTTTAACATTTTGAAAAACAATCCAGATTCTAATCTTGACTGTCAAGCAAGACTGTTGCCATCAGTTGAGTTTATGCCCAAAACAATTATTTTAAAAGTTAAAAAAAAAAAAAAAAGTATGCAGCAATTTCATTCAGCTAAAAAATAAGCTCCTGACTTTATAATTATAAACCCTGAGGGCAGATGCTCTGAAAGAAAAGATAAAAAATTGTCTGCCTCAGTTCATGTATAAACTTGTGTGTGGAAGAAAACACCCTATACCCCTATGTGTGGGAAGCTCCTTCATAACCAGGGTCATGTACTGCAGGCCCAGAGGGGGAATTTCACAACGCAGATGGCAGCATCCTTCACTTCTGGTGCCGTCTGCAAGGGAAATGGAGGTATCTAGCCAGATTTCCTTCTTCGACCTTCAGTGGGAGGTTCAGGTCAATATCTGACATCCAGCTTTTTTGGGGATTTTACAGTTTATTAGTTAGGTAGCAAAGACGCAATTCACCAGTCTTCACTGGGTTTGCTTTGTCCCAGACATGATTTTCCCCCAGCCTGAACACAGTACTTTTTCCCAAAATAAAGGGAAGGCATAGAAATAGGTAAGGTTTTTGTATCCTAACCACATCAAGTTACTAGTTTATTTTTCTTTTACAATTAATACTTAAATGGCTAGTTCAGTTTATGTAATGGTGAGTTTATTGCACTTTTAACTTGGCACAGCCACAAATAATGCTGGAAATATTATGTATATTTTGTATTATGTGCAAGGGGTTTGTTGTTGGGTGTTGTTTTTTTTTTTAGGTCTACTTTTCTAAATCAGCATTTTACAGGTGAAAAAATATTCTAAAATGCTGAGCTTTGGCATGTGCTCCCGTTTGTGCTTGCAGCAAGAAAAGTCAGGAGTACCTTCAGCAGACTCAAGTTGGATCTGATTCTGGTCTTGAAATCTAGTTGCTGACTTCTTGAAGTACTAATCAAGTCCAAATCAGACTTAGTTCCATATGAGTACATGTATAGATTTGGGATGTACAAGAACATTTGTAGTCAACTGACTTCTAAAAGCTAGCATGTAAGCTCTATGGGAGCAGGGACTGTAGCACTGCAGTGCCCACCTGAGGGCCCAACAGTGTTACTACAATAAAAACAAGAATACTGCTTAACACAGACTCATTTATTTTTCAAACAGCACCCTAAAGAGAAGCACGGCATAAAATGGGGCCAAATATGTCTTTGTTCCAGTAGCACATAATGAAAATCCTAAGGGGATGACTCTGCTAGATATACAAAGAAGCTGCACTTCACGCCTTGATTGTTACAGTCATGAGTATACTACTGGTCAGCTATACTGTAGTCTAAGTCAGTTCACAGTAGTGCAAACTATCTGTATTTGAATAGGTCTGGTTGAATAGTTGGTGTTAAAACCTTACCATGGTCAGGTCTTCCTATACATGGGGTTATCATCACTGGCATCTAAAATGACACTGCATTTTGCCATTCTTATGCCCTGCACTTTATACTATGTACAGAATTGGTCACCAGTAGTGTGTCCTGTCCCTGTGGTAACACAGGGATGTTTTAATTACTGCTGAGCAGTACTTACACAGAGTCAAGGCCTTTCCTGCTCCTCACACCAACCCACCAGCAAGCAGGCTGGGGGTGCACAAGGAGTTGGGAGGGGACACAGCCAGGACAGCTGACCTCCACTGACTCAAGGGATATCCCACACCACATGACATCACACTCAGTATATAAAACTGAGGGAAGAGGAAGGAAGCGGAGACATTTGGAGGGATGGTATTTGTCTTTCCAAATAACTGTTATGCATGACAGAGCCCTACTTTCTGGAGATAGCTGAACATCTGTCCAACCATGGGAAGCAGTGAATGAACACACTGGTTTGCTTTGCATGTATGGCTTTTGCTTTATCCATTAAACTGTCTTTATCTCAGCCCAAGGCTTCTTGCTTTTACTAGACCAGTTCCCTTCCCCATCCCACCAGGGGGGACTGAGTGAACAGCTGTGTGGGGCTTCACTGCTGGCTGGAGTTAAACCCTGACAATGTAGTACCCTTTATATCCAAAACTGAGGTACAACAAAAACTCTAAAATCAAAAACTAAAGAAAATGAAGTATGAAAATGAATCTCAAAATCTGCAGCTAATTGCCGTAACTTTTTATTGCGTTTAGGGGTAATAAAGTGTACATAGTTTTAACAGCCTCAGAATAGCCAAGTTCTATCTTGTAAGTCAACATTTCTGCCCTCACTTGTGATCAATTATTAATATGCAATCACAGGCTTTGCTGTACTAAGTCTTTAAAAGGTATTTGTCTCTCTTAAAGCAGTCAAAATAGAAGTTTTAAAACAGACCTGCATTAGGATGCGAACATTCGTACCACTTGATAAGATGAACTTGTATGGTTGGTTTGACTAGTTTGTTTTTAAAGACAGGCCTTAGGTACTCAAATTTCTGACTTATAGTCATCAACCTATTCTTAACTCTCCCTCAAGTGCCTCCACAGGACACTTAATGGAAGAGCTCCAGTGTGTTTCCAGAGCTTTTTAAGAGGGAAGGGGTTGCACTTTCTGCTTTCACACACAGTTTCACTTTGTTAATAATTAGTTCTAGCAGTTTTTTCCTTTAATGTTTTTGATGGAGCAAATGAATGCATTAGTTTATAAAAGTACAGATTCTCTGAACGGCTGTGCGAAAAGCGAGGTGAGGGAAAAGCCGAAAATCTCATTTGAAGCTGAGCAATATAAAGGCTTCATTGCTGAGTGCGACAGTGACACTTCGGTGAGTGACAGCCGAAGCCAACGCCTTTATTTCCCAGCAGAGCCAGCACCTGGGCAGGCTGGGAGCGGCTCCTCCCGCACAGCCGTCTCTCGGCTGCCATCTCCTGGGTAGGCTCCTCATAACACAATCCCGTCACCCTCCCTGTTTATTTCCTGACCATCCATCAGTAACTGTTTTCATAGCATGCATCAGGCTGAGCTTCTCTTGAGAACAGAGCAGAATAAAAGATCGAAATCAGGAAAGGCAATTCTTAAAATTAAGCAATGTTGAGATATGGACGTTCTGCCAGAGAAAGGGATGGATCAGTGCATTCGTATGTTGCCAGCAAAGACCAAGACTTCTCTTCAGAAGGAAAAATTCTCATTCTGAAGACATGCTCTTCCTTTCCACAAACACCCCTCATCTGGGAGATCTCTACAGGAATCACAGGATGATCCTCCGGTCCTAAGCATCTGGTCTCTGGAACATCTGTCTACATCTGGAGCCACCACCACCTCTGCAGCACACTGTGACACACCTGGGAGAAACCCAGAGAAGTTGGGATTACCCCTCCCCTCCCAACCCCCATAGCCAAGGCAGAGAAACAGCTCTCATCCCAGAAAGCCAGGACTGCATTCATTATATATGGATTTGCAGCTGCTTATCACTTGTGGACCTCACCAGAACACAAGCTACCCCTCATCTGCAGCCTAGTCCTGCATGTATGGAAACCAGGACATGTGCAGCTGCATCCTTCCCTGACACGCAGTCAGACACAGCTGGGATTCATCCCCTGGCCTGGAAATTTGGAAGCACTTCTGGGTCGCTCCAGACACAGCCTTAGGCAGCTATCTTAAGAGTAATTTGCTGTCTTACAATAATACCCTAGCAGAGAGAGTAGCCCTACAGAGGGAGCCAGTACACTGAGCTCGAGGCATGGACTTAAAATTTCAGTGAGATACATTTTACCTCTGATTATGCACATCACCCCTCCTAAGGGTATTTCCAGTTCGCTTTTAGATGCCAGCTGAAGAACCCAAAGTTACACAAGACTGATACATCATTGTTCCAGAACAAAGCACTACTTGCCTCATGCACAGCTAGGGACACAAAATGACATTTCATTGTTTTGACCATGGCAGTGTACACACATTGTAACACTCAGCTGTGACTCAGTACAACATGTCTTCCATTCATTGTTGCTGGTCACTGCGGGGAAGTACACAATTATTCTTTCCCTTCTTTTCTGCACCCTCCTTCCCAGCTGCATTGCTGATGGAGAAGGTGCACTTAAGGTCACCCTGGAGAAATACTCCAGGAGGCTGCAGCAGTAGAGAGACACTAGTGCAACACAAGAACTGCCCTTGGTCACAGGGGCCTGAGTATAATTTAACGGTTTTAATATCACTATTTTTCTGTATAAGAGCACAGCACCAGTATGCAAGCACTGCACAGGTTTTACTTCATTCATAAACAGTCCACTACAAGGCAAGCTAGCCATTTATTTTTGTGAAGTTTGTATGCTAATTAGTTGCATAGTAACAACAAACATGAACATGGGAAAATGAATACCAAAAATGGCAAAGTTTGTGTATTTATTTCTTTTCTAAAACCAGAAAGAATTACTTGATAGTTATGTCCTGAAACCAGGACATACAAGAACTGTGTATTCAGGATTCTGTACAAATGTCATTCAAATAGCAGAGGGCTTCCCTCCAGCCTCCAAAGCAAAGGAAAATTCAACTTTGAATTTGCTCAGCTATGCTTAGATAATAAGGCCCACACTGTCTGGAGGCTGCACATGTGTAAGCATGCAAGGAGCAGCGGCTGTCCTGCAGATGAAAGACTCTCACTTCACTGAGGAAAGCACATCAATAAGTTAATAAGCACTTTTAACCATGCTTCTGCCTGAAGTTGTATGTTTCATTGGGGTTTGCTTATTTAATTCAGATACAGTAACCATCACTAAATATTAAGACTGACTTAAATCACTGGGGAGAAAAAAGATCATCACCTATTTTTCTTATTTTATTTTGTATAGCTAGCACCTGTTTGTAGATTTTTACTGCAGACGAAATGGGTTACACAGCTGAGATTTAAGTGTTGTGTGATGTAACCATATATAAACTTGAGCAGATATTTTTACTTTTCTTTACCTCATTTCCCTTGCTTTGTATCTAAGTTGTCTACATTGTCTACATTGATAATGATAGATAAAACTGTCTCTCAACATCAGTAAAAATGACATACACAATGAGACTTTGAACTCTCAGCACTGAAACACTACCATGGCACATTAACATACAATCCTGAGTAATGTGCTTTAGGTGACCCTGCTTGAGCAGGGAGGCTGGACTAGATGGCCTCCAGAGGTCCCTTCCAACTACAACCATTCTGTCATTCTGTGAATAATGTAAATAAAATTCTCTTACTCAGATGAGCAGCCCATTATTTCCAGTGGAAGCACAGGCATATTATGTCAGTCTCTTTATCTTTTAACTAGGTTTCAAAACATTAACAAGAGGAGAACTGTATTAAAATCCTAAATGTGTATGTAAATGCATATATAAACTGCAAGAAGTTCAGTAGACTTGCTTTCCTTTGAAAAACTAATCCACTTTGATGACTTTGAATCGTAACATGTCTAAAGTTGAGCTACTACAACTAATTAAACTTATAGTCATCTATTTATCGTAATAGCTGGGGGATTTTTATTTCTGCAGCACCATACAATTACACAGCCAAAAAATCTCCTTCGAAATTAATCATGTCTAGACATCATCAAGCAGTTACAGGTTTGCATATTATTGCTAATGCAAGTTTGCTGCTGGTAGAATATTTGATCTAACTTTGAATCAAGGTCTATCCATATTTTTTTAATGCAACGGACTTATAGCATGAGCTGCACAGTAAAAATGCTGCCATGAGACAGAGCTACTGGAATGCAACCACTACTAAAAAGTTAATAACTCTTGAGAATAGTTTCTATTTGCTTCTCTGTACCAAAATGTTTCATCTACTTCAAGCAGCTTTCATGTTACAAGAATGTCAAAACAGCATAGAGCTTGCAAAATGACTCTACAGTCATATAAAATTAAACTACTAGTGAATTTAAGATTAAACCCAAACCCATGATTGTCCTGTTTTGACCTCCCATACAGTCAGTGAACAAAGACTACCAATGTAAACCCATTAAAGTAGTATGTATCACAGAAGACAAAACAATTCACAACCAAGAATTTTAGGTAAATTCTATTAAAAAATTACTCCATGTCAAAAATGCACAGAGATGGTCTCAAAGGAGAGTTAAGAACACCTAATTAGTACTCATTTATTTCATTTAGTCCTAATCAAATTACTGATTGAAATGTCTAGTACACCTGTTTAAAAATATATAGATTCTTTGTAAAAACAACTCAAAGCTAAATCATGCTCATTAGAAACAGTAACACTTTATTTTTAAGAGTTAAGCTATTTTTCTGAATTTGCCCAAAAGCATTCCTTGTTCTCTTTCCAAGAATATTCGTCCTCATAAATCTCCTGCAAATACAAACAAAGAATGGGAAATACTGTGGAGTCTGCTACATACAGCCACAAGCCAGGCCAAACAACTCAACAGCCATCCTGCTATTATTTACTGATCGCAACAGGACTATACAGCACTTGTATTGCAAATAGAAAAGAAGGCAGCACCCTTAGAACATACCGATTTACATGCGAGCAGATTATGACCCTCAGGCTGAGCCCTATTAAATTTAGGAGGGCTCATCCATACTGAAGTCGATTCAAGAAAGAGATCTAGAAGAAATTATATAAAAGCTGTAGAGTCTACAGCACTCATATCTGAAACTGCCCGTTTTGCATGTTGCCATGTTACTGTACCATCACTTACAGGGATCATTTAAGTCTATGTAAGATGTCAGTATTAAAAAAATAAAAATTACAATACACAAAGCACAGTGAGTGTTTAACCTCCAGGACTTCCCAGCAGCAGTCCAGTCCTACCCAGCAAATTCAGCAGGGCTCTGAGCCTCTGCTTATTCTTTCTGGGACCACAGAACAACCTGTCTCCTGAAAGAAGCATCAGAAAAGTGGAGTAATAAGGAGAACATCACACTTACCCCATGGCAAATTCTGCCTGGGAGAGAAGGCAGAGATAAGACTCATTATTTGCATGCAACACTGTGGTTATACAATGAGGCTCTTCTAGACCCAGGCTGGTCTCTTCACACATTGTTGTGTGCCCATACTAGCTTTGGGACCTCTGCTCATCCCTTCATTATGTGCTGTTGCTTAATGCTTTGTGCTTTCTCAAAGCCACAGGGATGAGGAGAAAACAGAAATACAAGAAAGCCACTTTTACTTGCAAACTACAATGCTGTCAAAAGCAAATCTGACTCAAAGCTCCTAAATCTGACTCAAAGCTCTTCCACAAGCCTGTGCAGAACTGTGTTCTGCCACTCAGAAAACCTCAGGGCTCCTTCTCTTTGATCCCAGGATGACATTAAAGGAAGATGAGCTGGATGGTACAGGCAAGGGAGGGCCTTCTAGATGCCCTACCTGCCACAGGTGCATCTGGCTGCATTAGAGGAAATCCACTGGTGCTAGACATTTAGCATCCATCAGGAGCAACTGCTGCTCGCAATGCTTCAGCAGATTCCCTTCAGAGCAGCAGCAGCCTTCAGACCAACTGTCCAAGACTCTGACACAGGCCTAAAATCAAGTTTTGCCCCAAACATACCTTTTTCCATATTGGGACGGATGCTTTTAAGGTATTGATGCAGTACATTACAGCTTCAAGGGATTCTGCTCTATGTGGAGAGGAGACTGCAATAATTACACTTGCTTCAGTTATTGGAACCACACTAGGGAGAGAAGAGGAACAACAGCAGCTTTAGCTAATGCTTAACATCAAGAGCACTCAAAAGTTGTGGCCATGTCACGTCAGTATTCTGGCCACACACTCTCCTGACTCATTCATACTGAGCAAGTGTCAAGCCATGTTCAAGATTATACACTTTTTAAAAGAAAGAAAACCACAACCAAAATCAGTACCAGATGTGAGAATTCCACAATTCAGAATAAATAAACCCACCAGACATAGGCTTTTTTCTCCCATTCTTTTTTTTTTTTTTAATAATAAAACTTATGGAATTAAGAGGGGAAAATCACTAACTTGCAACAGGACATAGGAAACTCACTGGATACTGGCTTAATAACTGGTTAGGAACAGCCAGTTCTTATCTGAAAACCTAAGAAATCATCTCAGTTTGCACAAGAATTTGTGAAAGCAGAAATTAAGTGCTTCGAACTATGCAGATTTTGCAATGAAAACTTTTTGACAGATTTGAGTTCTAAATTATGAAGTTCTTCCTGTTTGGTGTGTTATTAAGAGAACTAGCACAAGATTTTGTTTTGTGCCTCACAAGAGTAATATCCCCAAGAGTTGCCTACCAACCATCCCTTTATAGTAATACGCCTTTGGCAAAGAGGTCATATGAAAATCTAAGTTTAAATGCTTTCAGCCCTCAAGAGAATCACTCCCTCTGTTGCCTATAGAGGAAATCTAAAGAAACTATCCCTCAGAGCTAATATTATCCATTATTATCACCTCAAGTTCCTTCTGCTGAGAGAAAAGGAAACAAGTGCTTGTAACATACTCTGCATACCCTGTTAGTTTCAGTGAGAAATCTAATGAACTGTGAAGGTTCAAGACTATGTCAGACACTAGCATTGTATGTTTTGAACCCAAGAGAAAATGCTTATCCAAGACTCAAGGAACAACAGGAGGCTCTCCAGCAAACATGGCTGGCAATCACCATGCCTCTCCCCTTCCCAGTGTTAAGCTTTCCCTATGGCATAATTTAACTTAAATCTGACAATAAGAACATTCCGTGGTACCTCAATGGAAAAGAGGAAAAAAAAAAAAGTGTTGCCAACTTCACATGTTTAAAAAAATAAACAAATAAACCAACAGCCTCCCCTTTCCTAGAATGAAATCTAGTCCCTTCTCCCCACTTGCAAACTATCACACCAGCATCAAGGATCCTGCTGGCTAAATGTGGACTCCAGCAAACGCTACCTATATACACATCTTTGAAAAGACAATTTCTAAAACTTATCTCACAGTGCAAGTTTGATTCTACAGCCAGCTTTGCTGCATCACAGTTTATAAAAGACTCCTGCACATCCTGCAACTATGTAATCACAGCCACGCACCACACAAGGATTAATATTCCACATGCAAAAGGATGGGGTCTGGCCATACATACCCAAGTCTATGGTGCACTGCAATATGTTTGACTGATGGCCATTTCTGTCTAACACCTCTGCAGATTTTCTTTATTTCAGTCTCTGCCATTGACATATATGCTTCATATTCTAAGTGAATCACTTTCTTCCCTTCAAAATTATTTCTTGTAGTACCTAAAATGATTTATCAACCAAAAGCACTAATAAATATATATGTTTATAATACATTACACATTTATTATATAATAATATATTACATATAAATACCAAATAAAACCCTGGATCTTCTGTTACAGTCAAGATCAGCACTGTGCAAGTACAGAAAACCTCCCCTAATCATGGCTGTGTAAACGGATTCTTTGAACAAGAGAAATCTTTAATAGGCAAGGAAGAATTTAGTTTATACAAGTCTGCAGTCTGTAATGCCCAAGGCTGGGACATCTCCTGTGGCAACAGCTAAGGTGCTATTACTGCATTTGCCCATGTAACATTTAAGTGCTCAGTAGTCAGAAAACCAGCAGCACTACAGTTTAAACACAAAAGGATTTCTAGATGAGTACCATTTACATTAAGCAACAGGACAGAGCTATCACCAAAGCTTAACCTTCACCCTCCCATGGGTAAAATGGTAGTTTACATTCGACCAAGACCTGAGTTGCAGGAGCTTTCATACAGGCTTGGACCTGTGATCTGCTTAGCCACAACATCCCACTTCACACCTTGAAAAAGTTATGGCCAATGGTGTGGAAAAAACAGCTCCCAGGCAATCCTGTAGTCCAGAGATGTTGTTCTGTTCAGCCCTAGGACAGCTGAAACAGCAAGAAAGCTTCTCACCACTTTGTCCCAGTGCAACTGTTCAAGAGCTGCCATGGTCTTGTTCTAAATAATTCAGAACGTGTTTTCTAAACATCCTGGGTTTGGTCCAGGAATTTATTTATTTGAGAAGCATGAGTTTGGGGTGTGCACAATTAGAATATTTACACATCCAAAGATCCAGCTCAGAAATATTAAACTCACCAATGAACAGAGACACTGCCCCACAGCATGGTGAAATGACCAGCTCTGACACTTCATCTACAGAGAGCTTTTCAGACTTGAGCTTGATAAAATCTTTTGGCACATCTTTGCTTTCATCCATAGCTCACTAGAAAAGCTGAAACCAGACAAACTCTGTTGTTGGTTTTGGCAATACTAGTGCTGGCCAACTGCTTTATATTCAGTGCTGATGCCTCAATTTATACAGAAAACATGCACCATCTACTTCCTTGCCTCAAGAGACCAGTCTCCATGGCAAATTCACTTCTCAGCAGCCTTGCCTCAACTGCAAATATCAAGCAATGACCTGGTTTTTAAGGCAAACAAGTTTCTTTCCTGATAAGAAAGCCTGTTCCAGTAGAACAAAACTAGACCTAGTCTGAGGCCTCAGTTTAACAGTACAATCAACCAGCATGGACCACTGTGCTAGTAAATTTGTGGCAAGACTATCAGCCCCTCCTCCCTATCTTATCCAGAAATCAAACAAAACTTAAAATACAGATTTCTGATAAATACGAATTTGACTTCTAATCCTCTCCGGGACATTTTTGACCTCCTATTATCAGTCTGTTCCAGTGACACAGGAGACACTTCTAATTTCTCTGAGCAGAAACCAGTCATCAGTTCATGTAAGAATGAGAAGGACACAAAGTATTTTGAGCAGCAGGAAAGGAACAAGCTGCAGTAAATCACAGATTGTTAGGGTTAGAAGGGACTTCAAAAATACATGAACTGCCACTTCAATGCATGCAAAGAAATGAAGCTATTCTAAGGACACCTGTTCCTTTGACAGCAAATTCAAAAAAAAAATAAAATAAAAAGAATGCAGCAGTCACTTCCTTTTCTGTATCATCTCTTCTGTTAAAAAAGTGGCATGAGGTTTTTCATTATTATCTTACTTGGCAAGCTGCATATCCACTGGCAGACAGAAACAACTGCAAAAGAATAGCAAGACCTAAAACCCAAATTCAAAGCAATGACTGACCTCTCTGGCAATTTTCTTTCATTTACCGTTTATGCGTTAATCATTTACTGGTGCACTAACTTGTGGTTTCTGGTCAATGTTTTCTGCAGCAGGAAAAACAAGTTATGCTCTCTCAAAAGAGTATCAATATGGAGGGACAGAACTGCAATAACATCTCTGGACCTAAACAAAAATAAAAAATAAATAAATTACTGGAACATTACATAGAATCTATGACATATTTTAGCACAGGATGACACTCCACAGGAAACCAAGAAGTGATACTTACTTAACAGAACTTCGGTAGATTCATCCTCCGCTAATTGGTGGGATGATGGCAACCTCGTCTCCAGGCTGCAGGACCAGGAGCTGATCTCCAAGAAGCACGTACTCCTGCCTAACAGCAAAAACTACTTGATCCCGGATGACAGCAAGCCTGAAGGGAATTGGCAGGAGCACAAATAGATTTCTAAACAGAGTGTTTGCATTTAAACATGAGATTTCATTAAACAGCAAAGTGCTGCACTATCTAGCACCGCTGAGGTAAACAGCATTAAGACTTATACAACCCAGCTTGCAATACACTTTCAAAAATACAACACCCACCTCCTACTCAGGTTCTCTTGTGGTGGCTATGCAGAAATCAACTCAGTGCAACTTTCAGAAGTCAAGAACTGCATCTGTCAAAGGCCTGCATCAGAATGAACCAATGCATACCAACCCCACTTCAGCACTTCAGCAGCTTCTAGCAAAGTAGGCAACTCAAGAGGTAGCAATAATCCAATCTGGGATCAGAAGGAAATGCTCCCTTGATTCAGCCTGGCTGGACTACAGCAATTTCCTTACATGGCAAGAGGCATTATGGGATGATGTTTGTGAGATCTCATGAAGATCCACTAGTCAGACAGTTGCTCTTGTACAACCTCACAGTTTATGAGGCTTTAGGTCTTTTGTACTTACAGGTCTGAAATTTACTATTAATAAGGAGTGGCTACAGAACTAAGAAGGCAGATATGGTGTGTTTTCTGGCAGATCTTCACATAATTTTGGATTTCACATCTGTGAGACCTTGCTGTGAGAGTCTACAGCTCTGGATACCATGAGACATGGACTCACTTTCATGACCAAGTGCAGTCAAATGGTGAATATGAAGGCAACACCAGTAAGACACCAGAAAAAGAATGCAAACATTTTTCTTTAGAAGGTGCAGGTGTGGTAACTGCTACTGTCTGAGACTCCAAAATCTCACACTGACAGCAGAGAGCTGTATCGCCTAGAAACAAGCAGGCATGCCAAAAGGATACAAGCAAAAATTATCTTATTTCCTACCAGCCAGATAGATAGAAAAAAGTAGGCAAGGCACAGGCTGTGCAAAACACAGTAGCACTGTCTCAGAGTGCAGGGGGAAGGGTAGGACTGTAGGGAAGTAAAGCAAGCCACTAAGAAACTGTGTTTCAGCTATGAAACTGAAGTGCCCATTAGAAGGATGGGCTCTAATTAATGTCATTTGTGAGTTAATTCACTGGGGAAAATGGGTGGAACAGAAAAGCATTGTCAAGTATGCTCAAGCTGCAGTCTCAATATCTATTAGCAATGTGAATAGAAGTCTGTGGTCAATACCCTACTGTTAAGTTGAGGTTTTCCAGAAAAGCTAGAAGCAGAAGCATTTTCCAAGAAGGCCACTGTGAAGTATATGCACATGCAAAATGTACTGCCCCAAGTCACCATTCATAAAAGGACAAAGTTGACAAACTATGGCAAACTGACAAACGGTGCTGCTGCGGCTTCTGACACAAAGTAAAATACACAGGATGCAAAGTAAAATACATACACTCCCTACTGCCTCCTCCCCAAAACCACACTTAGACTCAGTTCTTTGTAAGAAAAAGGTCCCTGGCCCAACATTTGGTTAGAGCATGACACTTGAAAACAAATGGCATTGATAAATGGTTAATTTTATTCATTGCCTTTGAGAGCAGGCCAAATAAAAAATGGTGGTGCCTAAAGGAAGACTCTGGCACCTAAGTCCAAAGTTTCAGAAATTCCAAGGCATTAAGCATTAAATCCTGAGGACCTCAACCTCTGTTATACCATACTTTTATTGCTTTTTTTTTTTTTTTACTCCACCTTCCAGAACAGTGTTACACCTTTGTCCCTTTGTCTGTCAGACTCATTCTTGACAGGACTGAGCACCTTCTCTCAGCCTTAACCTGAGGGGGAATTTCTGCTGACACCTCCAGAGAGCAGCAGTAAGTGCTACATGGGTCCTTACAGGGCACACCTGCGCACTCTCAGGACCAGACTCCCTGTGAAATGCCACCAGCAGTGGGTGTTTGTGGGGTTTTTTCAAAGCAGAGGAGATAAAAAGTGGCCAAGCCTATTTACTGCGTAAGTGGCTGAAAACCTGTGGCAGACCTTCAGCTCCTTGCCTGACCTGCCTTCTAGAGCACGCTGTAAGCTCAGACCAATGGCTAACAGTTACATTAAATGTAAGTGATCAAAACCACCTGCTTGTTATTATTAATTTCTTATTTATTGCCCTGGCTGTGTTTGAGTCTTCCTTGAGCCATCTCACCTTCTCCACAGGTTAATAACACAGCTCAGTTCTCACCTGCAGCATGTTTACCACACTGTGGCCCTCCTAGACAACAGGCCACATGCCTCAAGGTACCCCTCATGCTTAACTTTCGTGTACATTTACTGGACCTGGGCCTTTCCCTGTTTATACCTAAAGCTACAGCATTTCCAGCTGGCCAAAACACAGCACATTTGCTGCAGGTTATGAGAACAAGGTAATGCTGGGTTTATGGTACCGAAGTACTGATACGTGTTCCAGCTCAACTCCAAATGCTGAACCTGTGTTTACCAAAGAAGCCGCGGCACCAGCTCTGCCGACTACCTGGGGTGCAACTTGACGATCTCCTCCCAGAGCTGGAGCGCGGTGATCTCGCGTGGCACCGAGAGGGTCTCACTCCGCAGCCCTGCCAGCTCCGCGCTCCGGGCGAAATACAACACCGAGACCTGCCCGGGGACAAACGGCGTCAGGGGAGCGGGGCCTACCGAAGGAAAACAACGCTGTTGCACGTTAACTTCTCCGATAATACCAAAACAACCGAAACCAAACAGGAGTGAGGAAAAGTTTTCCCTGCGTTTGGTTTTGTCGGTTTGGGTTGCTTTTCTTTTAATGCCGATAAAGCTCTGTGGCATTCCCCCGGCTGCCAGAAAGAGCATGGGAAAGGGCCGAGGGAGGGTGTCTGTCAGCGCGGAACCGTGTACTGCTCCCGCCGCGCAGGCCTCGCCCGCCGGGCGCCTCTGCTCGCTGAAGAGCGGGGCTGAGTAAGCCCCGCCGTCCCCCTCCCCCGGTACCCGCCTCTCCTGCAGCCGGTGCCCGCTCCCCAGAGGTACCGGCCGGCTGCACGTACCTGGCAGCGCATGGAGCCCCGTCCCCGGGCGGGTAGCCCTCCGCCGCGGGCTCACGGTGGCGCCTGCGCCCGGCCGAGAGGCGTCGTGCCCGGACCGCCCCTTGCGGCCTAGGCTGGGAGCGCGGCGCCTCCTCGCTCCGGTAGGGTCGGGGCGGGGCGGGCTAACCCTGCCTCAGCGGTGTAGTGCAGCTCGGGATCGCTCCGCTTCCCTCGCACCGACGGTAACAGAGGTGTGAGTCGAGGTGGGAGATGGTGGGAGAGCAGAAGGTGAGAGGCTGTGTGTTTATCGCCCAAACGCAGCCTCTAGTTTTTTGCTTTAAGACGGGTTATCATATGGGTTCTGTCTGCAGAGTGCGTAGGGGTTGCAAGTGGTTTCAAACGTGTCCACTGCCCTGCGCATGTTATACATGCACCACACAGGCACGTAATAGGTATACATAACATGTAAAAGCTCCAAAAGGCTGATACAGGATTCTGGGTTAGGCTGTTTTTCAGTGTGGAGGTGGTTGTGGCAACTGTCTCTCCCTGGCCGATCATACACCATCAGGAGCTCCCTGCATGGAAATGTGGTGGAGGAACAATGTCCAGCCTCCTGCCGTTGTGCACCACGCAGGAGGAGAACACAGCATGGAGTATGTGGTAGATGCTGCGGCCAGGCCCACAGCAGCTGTACTGCAAAACTGCATTTTTGTGGGTGGCCAGGGTTATTTCTGTGCTTGCCTGGTAACACTTGTAACCCTACAACAATAAAAGAAGAGCTGTTCCTGCCAGGTCAGCCAGGGAAACTGGTTTTTGACATCGTCATTGGTTACTGTGATTCAGACAGGTGGAAAACGTCTGTCCTAGATGGATGCAATAATGTCAGAAAAAAAAAAAAAGGGGGGGGGGGGGGGCAAATAAAGCACCTTCAAATACAGGATTACTATCCAGTCATTTCAAAAAATGGCTAAGAAACAGACTTTTCTATGTAATAATTCTTGCCTCTGAAGTACGAAGGCAGCAAAAGTTACAGTGATAAATTCTTCCAGAAAAATATGCCCTAGAAATACTGTTATTTCCATGGAGTTAGTACACCACATGGTAATCTTCTGTTGTGTGGAACAAATAAGTGATTTAAACTGTATTCTTTTTTTTTTGTGAATGATTTACTACTATTACAAATTGAACTCTCCCCAAGACAGCATGTGTCAAGTGAGTAAAATGATTGCTTTCTTTCTTCTCTGGGCTGTTTAATTTTGGATCTATACATCTTAAATGAAATAAATTACTTTGAAAAGGTATATATGACCCAGCTAGCAAGTGGCTGGCATGTTTGCCCTGTGCAAAAGATGTGCCACAGTTGTCTGTCCTTAAAGTGAGGTGACTGAGTGCTGGGCTTACCTGGAGCAAATTAGCCTCTAAGAAAAAAGTGAGTTTTGAAAGATTTATCCTTGTATTTAGGGTTGAATTTAGAGTTAGGTCCACTATGAAATAAGGAGAGAGGAGCTACTGGCAGTGAATTTCTGGGTTTTCCTTATTTGAGCTCCAATTAGTAACTCACCTAAGCTAATTCTGGAGTATTTTTCAGAGGATGGCTCAGTCTTCAGGCCTTAGTTAAAGGCAGAATTTGTGCCTAGGAAGGACAGCAGTAGAGTAGGATAATCTGTTAGCTATGTTCTAGAACATACACAGAGAAATTAAATGTTCTTAACAGCATGAATTAAGCTGAGGTGTAAAATGAATGTGTAAACCAAAACTCTTCCTAGATACCTCTTCATTCTGGAGGTCTCTTCTTCCAGGAATACCAGCCTCAGTGAGAGGTGTAACTACTTGCTGAGTTTGCAAGAGTGAATTTTGGTTCATATTGCTTTCCTTTATTTGTGTGGGTTTTTTTTGAGGAGTAGAGACACCTGCATAAGAATGGAAGCTGTTTCTGTAGTTCTGGAGAAGATACGTTAGCTCTCTAGAGACTGGGATTTCAAATCTGTCTCTATGATTTCTATAGGCTAGCTCCACATGATTTTCTCTTAAAATATTTTCTGGTTTGGATCCTTCTTTCAGAGCCATTTTCTTCCTTCAACTTTCGGTGTAAGTAGCTACAATGTATATAATCTAGTTTTAAGTGTTATTTACTGAGTCTTACCCTTTAAATTAAATCTTGTCCAGAGCCATGGGGCCTTTGCTTTGTCTAACAGGTGTGTATGCATTCTCCCACACCACTATATGTGTCAGCCTCTCGTAATGCTGAGATGAAGCTGTGATGAAGCCCTCCAAAGCAGACATTTCATATTCTGCTTTTCAACCTTCCTTTATTTTAATAATGTTTAATACCGAAAAAGTGCTAATCTGACTGTATGGAATTCTCTTACACCACCCAAATAGACTATGACTTAAAGAAATTCGATTTTAATAATACTAAAGAGAGTCAAACAGTTAGGATTCCTATTAACTTATTTTTTACTTACCAGCAGCAAACTTTGAGCTCTACTATCTAGCTAGAGTATACCCAACACTAAGCTTACACTTACACTGTTTCTACAGTGTGCTGTTGAATGGATAGAGCACAGCAAAGTCAACAAAACTTAAGTTAGGTGGGGTAGCCTGCAAGTCCTAAGCTGTTTTTAAAATAACTTATTACAAAAATTGGTATAAAACATGACTCTGTGTAATGGGGGAAAAAAAAAAAAGAAAACACACAACGAGAAGAATGAACTGGAGACATACTGTTAATCTTTTTTTCCTTTTTACCAATGATTTACTTAATGTCACTGCAGCAAAAGTAACTCTCTGGGACTGCAAAAGATTGTGATTGTCTAACCTCTAGTAGATTTTCTGTTTCCTTTTGTTTTCATTTTAGACTTTTTCTCAGGACTGTTTGGTATAAATCATGAGTTACTGCTCTAATGTTAAGATTTATGCTTAGGAAGTCTTAAGAGAAATTCTTTTACTTCAGTTTTACTGTTGTGAAGAATTTAAGTTATGTTGGTGCTAGACATGCATCTTTGTTGTACACCCGAGATGTAGATATTGATGCATAACAGTATTTAGAAGACAGACACCATTTCTTTACTTCCAGCTTCCTGAAATAACCAGGAAAAATAAAAATTACCATGATCTGGAATAACCCTTCATTACCTGTTGCACCCTTTATTTATCTCGGGCAACCAGCCAGATCTGAAGTCAGTTTAGCATTATTCTTCTTCTAGTGAATTCATTAAGAAAAAAAAAAGGGGGGGGAGAAAGGAAAGCCAAAGCTGTTTGGAGTAATCTACAGAGCTCCAAAAGTGTGGCAGGTATAAGAGATATGTCACCATGGATTCCAGTCATTCCATTGAATTCAGCTCTGAATTTGGCCTCATCTTATGTCAACGCTGGTAATAATCTGGAAAACATCTCCTTCCTATTTTGGGAGGAAGGAGAGCTGTTCCTTTAGTTTCCATGGTGGAACAATGGAGAGAAAAATGTGAAAATATGAATCTGTCTGAGGCACTATGACCTTTAGGATTCCTGTGTGCGAGGTATATGTGGCCATTTGACCAATGATTTTAACATTCCCCTTGGCACTCTTTGAAATTGTCTATTACAAAACAGATGGTGCAGTAGTTACTTTTTGAAGGGCTAGAAGAGCATGACCACATCTGGAATTAATCGTTAGCTCCCTAAGCCAATAGATCACCCAATTTAAGAGGGCCTTCCAGTACGAATTCATTGCACAAATACAGAGAAAGAATACAGAGTATAAGCAGTCTGAAACTATAATTCATAGGCACACAACTCTTTCTGTTCAACTGTCTCATTTATGGGCATGTCTTTCCTACAAGAATTTCTTTTTATTTTCGTTGCACAACAGCAGTAAGTGAAATATGTAACTTCTTAAATAAGGTTTTTAAAAATCCATAAATTTTCAGGTTTTGCATAAAGTATTTTCCTTTTCCATTGACAGCTACATTATTACTAAAGAGATGACCTCTTTTCATTTCCATACTGTCCTTTACCCCAAAGGATAGCTAAAGGTTATATTAAACCAACATGCATGCCAGCATCATTCAAATAAAGCTACCTATGGGGGTTTGGATGATCATTAAGCATGCTCTGAAGAATGCAGGGAAACGGCATTAGGGCATTCAAAAATAAATGGTAAAAACTATTTCTGCAACATTCAATGCCAAAGGAAAACACAAGTTTTAACCCATAGAATCTCATATTTTAAAGTGCCTTTTACTGGGCTACTCAGCTGTCATTTGATCTGGATAATCTAAATATTAAAAATATTAAATGTGTTATCTGTCATTATAAAGAAAAAAATTGTAATTCCAAAACTTCATTATTAACTACAAAAGCCCCAAATTCATGTAACGAAGTAGTTGCAAAGGCAAAGAATTTTGAATGTTACCCAATCGACAGGTCATGTCTCTGATACTACATTTAGAAAGATGAAATTTCTTGTCTGTAGTATTTCACTTGGCTTCTGTGCTCCTTTGCAAAGCACCTAGCACAGGGAGACATGAAATGCCTGCAGATAAGAAGTACAGTTTTAGTTTATATTCCCAGATTAAATTGCTGGCCTTTTAATTATCATGATGTGTAAGGATTTGAAACATTGCACAAGGTAAGAAACATGTTATAATATGAATTTGCTGAAGCCAGTGAAATCCCACAGGAGTTACCTGATCGGTGGGTGGCTGATGAAAATAAAACCAACCTCTTTACTAACCAGTTCAGAATTTGAGTTTTGTCCTACCAGATTACAGATCGTGGGTACCCTCCTTATTAGTTTTTTATAACCATTGTAGTTGCTTTGCTCAACTTGAAAATGGAAGTTTTGTTGAAGTTTTAGCAGTATTTCATATACTGGGAGTACACACAGCATAACTGTGATAGGATATTCTGCAAATGGTAGTGTACCTTAGATTTAGGTTCTGGTTGTATTACCTGCTGAATTCTTTTGATACACGTTAAAGTGTTCTAGGTGGTTTGTCTTCAGTCTTTTCATGATTCTGTAGAATACTGGGCTTGTATTTAAAAATGCTGATTAATTGTACACTTAAACTTTAGCATTTTTGATAATAGAGTGAAAAATGTGTACACTTTTGTAAGCACTCCAAAGAGACAGTGACACAAGAGATACTAGGAGAAGATCTGCACTGACCCTGCCTCAGGGTTTGTCTGCAGTTTGCTTCATGCTGTGTTCCCATGCCTCCCATATCTCTCATACCTACTTTCTATGTAGTAGCCTTACTGACAGTCTGCAGATGTTAATCATCATATAGTCAATGATGTGTTGAGCTGACTGAATTAGTCACTACAAACTGAATTAGTATTCCTACTGGACATGTTTTATGCTCATTACTCGCCTATTCCACACATTTCCAGAAAAACATGGCTAGATCCCGACTTAAAATGTCTTCCACTAAGGTTGATCAAACAGGAATTATTTCCATCAGCCTGTGTGGCCTGTGCTTATTCAGTTCTTCTCTGTGTTCCTTTATGACTGGAATGCTTTCTTTGTAAGTAAAAAAGACATTTTTTTTTTAAGAAAGATTTTAGTCTGTTGAATTTTTTTTTTTAAGACCCTGGAAAAAAAAAGTTGTGTGATTAGTTCTGAAGGCCAGTGACCTGATAACTTTTACTTTTTAGTATGAATCAATAGTTCTTGTAGGGAAGATAGGTAGTGACTGCACAGTTAAGAATGAATTCAGTTTTGCATTTCATATTTAGGTTAAAAGCCATGCTACAATCTGCCATCCAACTAGCAAATTCTGCTTACAACTAAGAAGTATGGGACAGACTGCATTGCTAGCAAATAGAGAAAGCATACCTTAATCAAACCATCCAAATTCTGCGTGCAAAACTGAGATCCTAAAGTTTCTATGGCATTGTTTTGACTAAAATTTTCGTTTTCTATTATAATATAACAGCACACATATCCACATGAGGGCACCAGCTGACATCTTATTTTCAGATCAATGTGTAGTCTGTTTCTGAAATGAACATGTCAATAAATGGTCACTCTGTCATTGTACTTACAGAGCTAGAGTAAAGAGTGAACTGTTCAGTGTTACAGTTCTCAAATTATGTCTTATTCTTTTTTTATTCTTAGGGCAAAAATATTTTTACTTTCCCTAAACTCTGCATTCAACAGAAATATTGAAATGAATTCTAATCACAGAGAGATCTGGGGATGTTAAGATTTCAAAAGAAAAAAATATTCTTAACCTGTCTGCATAATGGAATGTAAGTGAACTCTCTTAATGTTGGTGAAGTTTATTATTATTTCTTAGCCTTGAAAGGAGAACAAAAATCCCAAGGTTTTATCCTAATTTTCATTAAATACACAAAAATATGCAGTCAACACCCATTTCATTTGTAGAAGTTATAGAATATTTTTTAAAAAGCAAAGAGTGCTGTACTGTGGGTTAGGCTGAGGATTCAGGACCAAGATTGTCCACTTCCTTTCCCTGCTGAGCTCCAAGAACATTGACCAACATAAATACAGTACAGGAACAAGGATCAACTGAAAAGCCTAATGCCTTGGAAACACTGGAAGATATCTTAAGGATTCTGGCTAAGTGATTTTAACGTAGGGCAGACCTCAATTTGGCTCAGTGTAGCTGGTAACGTAGGAGAAAAGAAAATTTCCATGTCCTGAGAGATAACAAAGCTAATGATGCATAACAGGAAACCTGGGACTCCAGCATGCACACTGAGGCAACAGAAATAACGCAGAAAATGTAGCTTTGTTGCTGAGTAAAACCCAGAGAAGTACTCCAAGCACCATAGGTGTGTGAATACCTGAGAGGAATTGTGAAGCTGTTGGACAGTCTTCGTGCCAGGATCCATTTGGTGCTTTTGAGTCACAGTCTCTTTAAGTCTAAGTGGTACTGACAACTCATAGGAGATTTCAAAGGCATCACAGGAACTGCAAGAGCTAAGATAAAAATGAAAAATAAAAGACTAAACTGGAGCTTTAGTGGAGAGAAGTGGCAAAGCTGCTACAGCAGCAGCTGTTTCTGTGAGAAGGTTCTGAGCTGAGGTCTGTCAGAAAGGATGGAAGTACTTTGACCTAATTTTAGCTGTCCAGGGTTACTTAATGAGTCCTAATTTGTTGGCTAGGCATCTCCTATAGCTAATGAAGAGGTAGAGACATCTTTAGAAAGCAGATCAGGTCTTACACCCACCTAATTTTGATACTTATCCTAAGATACCTGCTGTCTAGAGGCAGCTGTAGAGCTTCACTGACTATAGGAGGATCATCTGGGAGTAGATTAGACACCTAAATCTTATCAAAACTTAACTGAAATTGTCCCATCAATTTATAGGTGTATTGTGCATTTGCTGTGCATGTCTAAATAATGATCACTTCTGCATATTTTAAAACTCCAAGTAAGAAAGTTTTAATAGTTGAACTCTTTCTTATATTTAGTACATGGAGACCCAGGTACTAAAACCAACATTGAAATAGTGACACCAGTGTGGCACAGGAGAAAGCAGTGATGTAGACAATCAGTCCAGACATACGGTAGCACATGTGTGAACAAAATGCAGGCTTTGAATACACAAGAGTCCTTGTACTGGGAAGTGGCAACTCTGGAAAAAATTTAGAACTACAGAGGTCATGTGTGGTATTTTCCTCATCAACTTGCTCTTGCCAATAGATATTCAGTGAGAACATGGATTTTAAAAGACTTTCTTTTCCTTAGGCCTTCAGTACATACATAGAGTAAATTGGTTCAAATGGATGATTTCACAAACTGAATCTGAATTTGTTAATAACATGAAAGTTGTGTGATATAAGCCTTAAAGTCTCCTAAAAGGCTTCTGCTTTTCCACTACTGTATTTGGAATAAGGCTATTCAATAATTAAAATGAAAATTAACAGAACAGTATAATCCTTCCATGAGCAGAAGCACTATCATGTTTCCGTGGATTAACTCAGATGATTTACCAGGTTATCGCTACCATGGAGATTGAGTAGTGGTATGCTTGGTAAAGATATTAGGGAAAACTGCAGTTGTGGCAACTTTTTTCCAATTAGCAGCTAAAGACAAACATTTACTATCATAAATCCTATTTGAGTAAAATATGGTGTTACCCTTTTTCTTTTGGGGTTTTTGGTGTTTTTGTTTTGTTTTGTTTTGTTGGGTTTTGGTTTATTTTTTGGTTAAATTCAGGGCATATCCCAGTTGTTTTACCCCAGCACATTTCAGCCTCAAGACTGCCCTCTGGCCTCCTTCTCTTCCTTAGTCAGGCCTTCTCCTATCCTCAGATTTTTATTTTGAATAAGTACTTTTAATTTTTGAAATTTTATTTAATAAATATACATACCCACAGCCAGGGATCTGCAACCTCTCTTTCCAGGCAGCAGTAGGACCTGCACATACTCGCTCCTGGTTGGTGTTTGCTCTGAAGGACAGACATCAGCAGCCCTTCTTTTCCTCACCTTTGCAATGAATCTAGATACACTGCAGAATGTCTCCAGAATATGTGGTAAATGTGCCGCCCATAACAGCTTGAGAGAAGCATACTCTGTACCGATGTACAACAACTTCGTAGGGCTCTGGGAATTGCAAACCTTGGTCTTTCTCAGAGCGCTGATGTCCCTTACTCAAATTTTGCAGGATTCATACAAATGGAAATTGAATGTTAATTAAAATAAATGTATGTCTCTTTGCCTTTCTGTTTTAAATGGAGGGATAAAACCACTACTGAAATTCAGGTTTTCCTGGCTGGCCAGAATATATAGCTAATCCTAAAAATAATCTTGTGAGGTCCCCTTAAACCTATATATCTAAACCGTGAGAAGTAATAATAGCTGGAAAGTTTGAAGCATACCATGTCTACTTACTACATGCAGTGTGGCATCTGCAGGCTTGAGTTTCATGCAGCTTTATGTGCTTTCTGCAGTGAGGACATTTACAGTCCCTTTTGAAGAATTTACACTTACAGGTCTCGCAAAAATTCATAATACCCTTAAAGTATTGCAGATAATGAGTTATCAATTACCTCTTTTTATTCATAATGAAACAATAAATAAACTTCAATAAACCTGATCCTAATGATTACTGGCCTTGTGTTAAAAGGCTAACAAAAGAATTTGATGCCGTAGTATGTACATGTGTAACATTTTTAATTCTGCAAGCGCTTTCAGCTAGTGTAGCCAGCCTTGCCATCAAATGTGGTAACTGTTGAAAGCTGTCTAGCAGCAGCCAAAAAAAACTTTACAAAGCAAGTGTATCGGTTCACCATGCAGCTGCACCAACATTGATGCCAGCTCAGGAGAGAAGGTGCAGGTGGGAGCAAGCAGTGGGAAAGTGGAATCATTTATTTCAGAAGCAGTGTGGGGTTTAAGCCAAAATAAACTGCTCATGGGTCTACTAACTAAGGGTTGAGAATATAACAATGGTATGTAAGTAGAACTCAGATTGATCAAGTCTTTTGTTAGTCATTTATAAATTTAAGAACAGACAAGTGAACCCAGATTTCCGAAGAACTTCAGGTGTCCAATTACAGAGTTTAATTGTTCTCTCAATATAAAAATAAAAAAGAAAGTTTTAAAAGTTGTGCATAAAGATGGGCATGCTTTTGTCAAAGAAATGAAGTTACAAGTTAATGAAGTCGTGCATTTCATGTGCTGTCCATGTACATCATCAGCTGACCTATATAGTTGGCGTCAGGGTGCTGGTACCCCCATACACAGACCACGATTGTGGGCAGACCTAGAGGTGATTCCTAGGAAGTAAAATTGTCCTGTACTTTAAGTCTAGACCCTGTGATTAGTTTATCAAATTAAAAACTCACAAGTGATTAGTTGAACTAAAGAAGTGGTATTTGAAGTTACAAGAAGAAATCTCTTGAATATCCAGTAACCTCCTACCATGAAGTGAGGGCCTATGGATTACTCAACTAGTCTGGAATAAAACTTCCTTGTAAAAGTAAACTCTCCAAAGTAGAAATTGATATGGAATTTCCTTTGGGCTCAGTACTGAGGTCTCAGACCTGGGAAATTAATGTGATCTATAACAAACCTAATAGGGGCTCAAATGCTACACAGACTCCTCCAGTGACCCCAGGGTAATCATTCTTTTCTTCAGTGCTTCTGTAGCTACTTTTCCTTTGGTAAAAGCATCTTGGGAATGCTTCTCAGGACTGAGGGAAATGCCTGTTTTCAGACCTGTCTTCCTGAACTCCCATCCCAGTTTCACACAGCTCCCACATCTGTCCATTCAAAACTGGTTATGTCCAGTTTTAGCCTCTTTATTATGAAGATTGAATGAAGCACATACTCATCTGCACAGAAATAAATGGGGTTAGTGGGAGCCTGTAGCTTACAAGCCTGTAGTAGACCTAAGCTTTTGCTTTGGATCTTTTCCTTGGATTTGAACAAAGAGAAAATGGAGCAACCTTTTTCCAGAAGTTGTTGTTTAATCTAGCAATGCTTTTTCTATGCAGCAAGATGCATATGAGTTGTTAGTTATTTTTACAACCCAGCATATGTATGACAAAGAGTATAGTGTACATGAGGAACTCTGGTTTGGGAATCACTTCTACTGTCTTGTCTGTTTTGTACTCTCTTGATATGTGATAATCCTGGTTTGCGCACTCTCTTGGGATCTCAGAGATTGTGAAACGGAAGGTAACAGGGCCAGAATTAACTTCAAGTAATTACTGACCAGTCTCAACCTAGTTTTTACCTCATGTGTACCTGTTTTAGTTTTTCACAATTCTCTTTGACCCAGCAGAGATAATGTAATGCTTGATGCAAATTACAGCATCACTTTAGCTATACATGCAAGCTGTGAAGACTTCTCATCTTTGGCATTGCCTTTGTATGTGGCTGAGCAGAGATTTGTCATTTTGCCTCTTGCAACTATGGATTATTATTCTTTTTTTTGTCTCTTCAGGAGGCCACCGCAAATTGTAGCACACTGCTTTTAGCAGCCCTGAAAGAAAATTCATGTACTCATATTCAAAGACTGGTATTTGAAAGGACTGTATATAGATCTGCCGCTCATAACCAACACATGAATGAGATAGAGCAACAGTTTCAAAAATCAGGACCTGGTATGGAAAAGCAGAATATCCTTCAAAGACTTTGCATTACCACTGGTTCTACATATTCATCTTGGAACATCTTCAGTTCTGTCTTGACCACTGTCAAAATGTTTTATTGTTGAAGTCAGACTACTGAGGTTTCAGAGACATTGCTACAGTTTAGTAAATGTGGGGGAAGGTATCTCAGCTTTAACTATTAGAATATAAAGGGGAAAACTCCTGTAAATTATCAAGAACAGATTGTATTTCTATTCTGTAGGAACCGAGGGACTTCAAACAGAGTAAACAATATTTTAAACTAAGTATTTCCTAGCGTATGAGAGCTTTCAGAGTACTCTGAAACCCAAAGGAGAAGCTTTAAATATGGTTAGAATACATAAAATTACTCTAGGAAGTATCCTTTTTAAGACCAGTTTATATAATTTCATCCCCACGCAGACTAGATCTCGTGTACTAGATCACCATAACCACAAAGCTTAAAAATACGTCAAGGTGGAAAGAGGGCATGACAGGACAAAAGTCCCAGGCAACAGAGCCACTTAGCATTAATGAAGGGTGTGGTTCTGGGAGGTGTTCTAAAGAAATCGAAATCACTCAGATGCCTTTGGCCACCCTATTAAGTAAAGCATCTATATTTTTGCAGGAGAAACATAATACCGCTCTGTAGGTGAGAAATCTGGATGGACTGGTGTGTGCCTGTCACTGACATCTGCTGCAAAACTCTCCCAGAGTTTGCCCACCTTGGTCATTGATGTGCTGGGAATTAGCTATATGTCTCTTGACTTTTCATGTTCTAATTCCAATGCACAGTGCTGAGTGTAAAACATAAAATTGTGGTTACTCTGCAACAGATTTGTCCAAAACCCCCCAAAATATTAGTAGTTCCATTATCTGCCCCTTTAATTTTAATTTTGCTCTGGTATCTATAGATTTTCCAGCTACCCCAGTTCCCAGAGAGACTGCTCTTCCACGAACAACTTTCACAAGGGGTAAAAAGAAGGCATCTAATTTTGTAGCATTTTTTAAAAAAGTTTCCAGAAAAAATATTACTTTTTTCATCTCTTCCAAAGAAAGGCTTAGGCAAGACTTGATTTTCTTTTAATTTTTTTTTTTTTTTTTTTTTTTTTTTTTAAATCTGGGAAGCAAGCACTCTACCTCTGAATCAGTTCAAGATAATTGGACACCTGCTGTGGGTGCCATGAAAAACATTTTCAGAATGGTATCAGGCAAGTACTGGAACAATTTGCCCAGAAAGGATATAGAATCTCCATTCAAAGCTTACCAGGGCACTGGGCAGCCTTACTTGACATTGGAAGTAATGCTTCTCTGAGCAAGTGCTCAGACTGTGTGATGTCTTGAGCTCCCTTCCAGTGTCAATTCCTCTGTGATTCTATTATTTTGAGGATTTCCACGGGAAGTGTAATTCTTCAACACTTCAGTTCTCAACATATCCCTGTGCTCAAGACCACACATTTATTGCCTACCTCAACTTGTCAGCCGATAAATGGTCCCTCATTAGTCAGTAGAATAAAATAACTAACTGTGGAAGAGAAAATGACAGAGCCAGAGGATTTTTACATATTAAATGGGTATTTAAAAAATGGGACACTTTAATAGGAAATTAAGTAAGACCTGGATAATCTTGGTCACCAATAATAGAAGGTGAATTTCTTTTCAGAAAAACTACCCTAACACCAGCCTAACACCATTTTCTTCAATGGGGTTAACACTATTCTACATATTTGTGAGATCAGAACCAGGTAATTTTTTCTTAATGGTCTGGATGCCAAAACACTTCACTGTTCTGAATGCAGTGGTATTAAATGTTTTCAGTCAGCCCTGAAAAAAAAACACATTAAGTTCATGTTTTGTCTCCAGCCATGGTCTGCTTTTTTTCCTTTCTGTTCAGGTATTGAGTTTGGAACACAAAATGCTGATCCACAGCTGGAAGTAGCCCAATGGTCAGGGCTCTTCCTATCTGGATTTTTTTTTTCTTTTTTTTTTTTAACCCACGAGATTGCAAATTGCTCAGGTGCAGAAAATTTCTGTATTTGTGTATGTTCCTTGAAAAGCAGGAGACCTGATTCCACTATTTGACCCATTTTGGTGGGTTTCTTTCAGACATCTCAACATTTGTTTCTTACTGGCTGAGTCTCCGGGGATGTAAGAAACAAAGACCGGCACGTTTCTTGCCTGTAGCACTGAGCTGAGCTGTGGCTTCTCTGTTTACCATATGTCCCAACAAGCAAATGCATGGTGCCAGCTCATGCAACAACATGCACTATGTTAACTGGCTGTATAAAAGCATCACATAGGATTCGGCTGCATCACTTTCTTGTCTGTAGGTTTTTACCTCTCATTCTTCCTCAGTTTTATGGATGTAGACTTAAGGTCTGTGTGGCATAAGCTGAATGTGAAGGTCTGATTTACCCAGTTTATCTGAGGGACTTGAATTAGGAGCATATTTGCCATAGGCTACCTTAATGGTCTATTAAGAAAGAGAGACATTTTTGAATGGGGTAGAGGGATGGGGGTTGCTAGAGCTCAGGGTGAGCTGAATAACACTTGGGAAAGATTTTCCCTTCTTTTTCTAGAGGGAGTTAAAAAATAATACATTCCTAATTAAGGTACTTGTCCAGCTCCCTGGGTTTAGGTGGGATGAAACTGGCGAGAATGCAAATGCTAACAAGGCTAATCCCAGGCAGGCCAAACAATTTTAGTTTCCTATCAGCCCCTCAGATCTGGTTTGTTTAGCCTTTCTTCTGTCTTTCAATTGTCATATGCCAAAGCAATATGTGGGCTTCTACCCCACAATAATTCTTTCCTCTTTTATAGAGAGGTTGGCGACAGCAAGCTACCTGGCATGTTCCATGGTCCAAGCATGCCTGCAAACAGGTGCTACAGACCAGAGAGGATGGAGCAGGTGTAGAGGCATGGAGCAGGTTAGGGAGGCAGAGCAGTAATGGAAGGAGGGGAGACAAAACAAGGTGCTGAGCTGAGGGTGTGAAAAACAGGAAGTTGAAGAGAGGAAGATGAAGGAAAGGTAGGAAGTCTTGGGTAAGGACAATATGCATCTTTAGTGGAGAATGTAGAACCCCTAAATCCTGGCAGGGGCCAGAGCTGTGGGAAGTCTCCCTTGGTGGAAATACATGCTCTGCACATCACCCTGTGTTCCAGTCCTTCCAACCTCTTACAAAATGGGGTCCAGCAGTAGCTCAAAAATGATAGATGAGATTCAGATCTTGATTTGAATTTGATCCCACCACCCCCAAACACTGAGCAATAAACTAGAAGTACAAAAAAAGTGAAATATGAAAAAACGAAAAAAAGGGAGAAATGCAAAGTTGACTAAAGAGGAAAGGGGAATTACAACTGATGTGCCCTGGATTCTGTATGAATTTCTTTTTGCTCTCTTGGTTAAGTATTTCCAGATCATGTACCTAGCTATCCTTTTGCCAGCATTTAGTAATTGTCCACTAGTCAATACCAAGTGCATCTTTCTAACCTCCCACACTTTTGGGGTCAAAGAGAGCTTTCTCTAGCTCCTGCCAGCTTTAACAGGTGTTGCCCAATTTTTTCTAGGAAAAGGCTTCTGTAAAACAGGTCTTGCACTGGTTTGGGATTCTGTCTGCCCCACTGAGGTTTGTGTGCATGAATAAGTGCAGTGCATCTGGTGCACTTATAACTGCTGAGCTCACATTCAGGGCCATCTTTTATCTCATTAGAGACAGACAGAATCTTTTAGCATTTAAAATTTTAGTGTTTTCTAGAAGACTTTTTGCTTCATCCATAAAATTAATATCCTGGCTTTACGTGCCAGACTGGCTTATAGAAGAGGGAACAGGGTCTAGCAATACTGTTCCAGCAATTAGAGGGTTCCTAGTTTTTCGCTGATCATCTATTTTTCCTATGATTATTCCGCTATTAACCTTGTTATGATACCAGATTAATTTTATAAATATGCAGCTAGAGGTGACCCATCCAGCCTGAACGTTTGTGTGTATGTTTGTGTGTTTATCTTTGCCTCTGTGTGTGAGGCGTTTCCAAGGAATCCAAACCTGGCTCCAAATCCAAAGTCCTCAGATGATTCCTGTCGCTGCAGAAGGCTAAAACAAAACAGCTGAGCACAACTTTGAAGACATTTAGATTCTAAATCCTTGTCCAAATGATTTGAATTCCTCTCCTTCTCCCATCCCTTTAATCTAGGTTAAAGATAAGATCTTGAGAGCACAGGAAAAAGAAAAGAGAATATCAACAGTTGATATTAATTGCCCTCTATCAATCCCTGAAGAGTTCTCAAAATATTTAGACAATCTAATGTATCAACATTAATAAACAAAAAGTGAGAAAGAAAAAAAGCTGTAATTACAGCAGAGTTTGAACATCACATCTGATAAGTAACAAAGACCTCTAAATAGAACAGATAAAAAAGGTGAAACAGAAAGCATAGTAAAGAAAAAAAAAAAATCAAAGCATTGTCCTCAGTGCTATAGAGGTCACATGAATTAAACGACTCTAATGTCTTTCCAGAAAGAAAACATCATTAAAAGCCTGGAAGAACTGAGTTCTGAATTAAATCTGTATCAACATTCAAAGCACTTCCCCCTCTCTTCCATCCAGCATTTTTCCTAAGGCCTCCTGCTTGACCCATAATAACCATGTAATTGTCATAAACAAAAAATAAACTTCTGACCATTAATGGAAGATTAAAATTGTGTAAGAAGTAGTGTGGATTAACCAAGTCTTAAACTAAGAGTACATTCCAGGTCTGAAAGAAGCTCTATAAATACGAATATATGGAATTTATTGATTTAATTATTACCATTATGCACTGTGTTTGCTAGTCAGTTATATTTATTGTCAGTAACTAACAGATTTATTTGCTTTAAAGGTAAAATAATTGTTAATTCTTTATGATAGTTCTACAAAGTAGTGAAACCCAAATTATTACCAACAAGAACACAGTGCAATTTGCAAAAGCTTACCCCACCTTTTCAGAAAATATAGTTCACCCCATGTGATTAGTCTCTTACTGGTCTTGAATGGACAGGTGTCTTAAAACCACCTTCATTCTGTCCGTACAGGGCACTGGGGCCACACAAGGCACTGGGGCAAGCAGCTGTTCAACATCCTCTGCCCAGCACTCCTCCCTTCCACTGGAACTTTCTCACCTTCTTTCTTATTGTGTTACATCTGTTGATCTTCTCCTTCATCAGTCATTTCTAACAAAATGAATGAGTGGAGTTTAATATACTTCACTCTAGGGTAGCAAGTATGTTTTTTCTGGTTTTGCTTGAATTTACTTATAAGAAGCTATATATTTCAGTGCAACCCTACAGTATTTTCATTAAGATGAAACACTGGGGGCATTTCCATTGAGATGGAGGATATGTCACAAAGACTGTTTCTCATGTGGTTCTTCAGTGACATATATTTTTTCCTGTAAAAAAATAAAGACTACAAAGAAAAACAAAAACCCAAACCACAACTCAACAAAGGGAATTGGCCTGGGGAAAATGCCACTGAGATACTGTTAAGAAGGCTGACTTAAAGCCAAGCAGCATAGGCACAGCGAATGCCTCAGTCCACCCATTGTGCTTACAGCCACAGGGGGCTGAGAAGAATGCCCAATAAGATTTTAGCAAAAGTGTGGTAAAAATATTCTGGTATAGCTGCCTTTGTTTCAGAAATCAGAAACCTTAGTTTTCAATTTAACCTATACTATCCTGCTGTAACATAGATTTTTATTTCTATGTTAACACTGCATTATTATGCATTTAAAGAAGAGCTGTGAAGAGAGTACAGCCTGCCACGTAGTGTACAGCAGCAATAGCTTTAACCCAGGTACCACTCTTATTCCAGTGACTGTGATGGGCTGCTAATAAGGAGTTCACAGCTGCAGAGGTTATGGCCATGGTGCATTTGCTAGCTGGTGCCTTCCCCAGAAAGCAGTCTAGGAAAAGTTATTTCAGTCTAGTCTAATTTCGAGCAATTTTTTGACTTTTGGAAAGTGAGAAATTCTGCTTTTCAGGCAGACTTACCCCAGGACTGCCAAGACCACCTCTAAACCATGTCACTAAGGCCCTCATCTACACAATTTTTGAACACTTCTAAGGGACAGTGATTCCACCACTTCCCTGGGAAGCCTGTTCCAATGCCTGACCACCCATTCAATGAAGAAATTCTTCCTAATATCCAATCTACATCTCTCCTGGGGCAGGTTGAGGTCATTTCCTCTTGTCCTATCACTTGTTCCTTGGGAGAAGAGAGCAGCCACCTTCTAGCTCCATCCTCCTTTCAGGCAGTTGTAGGGAGCAATAACGTCCTCCCTGAGCCTTCTCTTCTTCAGACTAAGCACCCCCAGGTCCCTCATCTGTTCCCCATCACACTTGTGCTCCAGACCCTTCACCAGCTCCGTTCCCCTTCTCTGCTCCAGCACCTCAATGTCTCTCTTGTAGTGAAGCATCCAGAACTGAACATAGGATTTGAGGTGCACCCTCATCAGTGCCCGGTACAGGAGGATGATCACTGCCCTGGCCCTGCTGGCCACACTATTGCTGATACAGGCCAGGATGCTGTTGGCTTTCTTGGCTGCCTGGGTACAAGCTGGCCCACGTCCAGCACCCCCAGGTCATTTTCCGTGAGCAGCTTTCCAGGCACTCTTCCCCAGGCCTGTAGTGATGCATGGGGTTGTGCGGCCCATATGCAGGACCTGGCACTCTGCCTTGTTCAACCTCATTCCACTGGCCACAGCCCATCAATGCAGCCTTGTTCAGATACCTCTGTAAAGCCTTACTACCCTCAAGCAGATCAACAGTTCTGCCCAAAGAATCACCCTTGTTAAGTTTTAACTCCCCTGTGCCCAGAACAGTGTGATTTAAAAATCAATCTGATCCATCTCTGACAGGTTTGCTTTTCCTTTCAGTTAAAATAAGAAAAGTAATTTAGGTCCATCTGATAGCTTGGAAGTGTGAAAAGTGCAAAGAGAAGAGGAGAGAGCATGCTGTGCTGGCCAGTCTTCCATATAACGCACCCTTTAAGGGTCAGAGATCTGATGTAATCACTGCCTCCTCACATCATCGAGGTGGCCAGAGCAGAAAGTGGTCCCCAAAATTGCAAGCACATCTCTGGTCTTTGTTAGCGGCAGTGCAGCAATGCACTGCCTTTTTCTTAGGATGTGGAACAAATCTGCAGTTCAGCCTTAAGGAAAGTGTGTTAGATAGACTATTAGCTACAACCTTCAAAAAAACCTTGTTATTATATTGTCACAGAATGCCTGTAGATTTATGAGGCCTTGTAAATACAATAAATTAATCACAGTAGTACTTGTTTGTTTGTGTAAGAATTTGTAAAACCAGTAATAAAGCGCCAATGTGAGTTGCTTTTTTTTTTTTTTTTACTTGAAAATCCATTAGATCTGGTTCTGGGTCTAACTTCCTTCTTTAAAATGACCTGTTCTGGAATACATTCAAAAAGCTAGGAGTTGGTTCGGCGTGATTAAGACTTTAGGAGTCACAGTCACAAGTGTTATAAAAAATCATTCAGATACTAAGTTTGACCTTCACTGGATTTGTTCTTTAGCTGCAATGGTCTTCCATAATTTTTACAAAAACTACATGATAAAATTTATAGCGTTACAGATAGCTAGCTAGGGGGGGAAAAAAAGAGGATTATTGAAGGAAAAAGGCACTGACTTTCCAGTAAAATAAATGAAAATAACAAATGGTTTTATTTTATCTCTTAAAGTAATGAAAAATTGAATAGAAGCTTTCCATTTAGGAAGACTCAGATGTTTTCTATTAGAGCTGCTAAAAAGCTTAAACAACTGTTTCAGAACTTGCCAAATGACATCCATCTGCATAAACTAATGAAATATAAATGATCATTTCCAGTAGTTCTAAAGAGGTATTAATTCAAAAGTTGATATATTAAGCATTCTTCATAATCAGTTCCTATCCTTCCTCCTTCACAATTCAGTTGATATCCTTCATCTCACTGTACGTTATAACACACAGTGTTTCACACCTAACGCACACTGAAACCGCAGATGTCCCTACATGCTCTGGCAATGCCAGCCTGAACTCTTGGGGAGTTCCAAGCTACCTGCATGCTACATTGCCTCTTGAAGGAGTCTGTTTTCTCAATTAATGAAATTGCACAGCTTTTTTTTTTGGCAGGGCTTTTTCAGTAGAGTGACATGATGTGAAATAGAATAACCTGATGAAATACAATAAGTTAATAATAGTGTTGTACACAGAGCACCTTTCATCATGACAGATCCCAAAGAGTTTTACAGACTGTATGTATAAAAATCATTCTTCACCCACCATTGAAGTGCAGTTACTGCTGAAGAAGAATAGGGTAGCCATACCATGCCAGGAATAACAGCTTTTTTGAGTAAGGGAAGTTAAAAAAAATGTCTTCATCTGAAACAATAATGGGAATATTTAGGAAGGCCAAATATAATTACTAGCATTTGCATTTGGGCAACATGTTTAAAGGATTTCTTGTAAATACATGAATCAGTAATAGGGGTATGGGTGTCCATAATCATTTCATTTGCCACAAGCTCTTGTGGCTTCATTTT